AAATTGAGAACTCAAACTTGACAATCAACTAATAGTTTGGATTGATAGAAATAAAATCTCAAATTATGAAGATTTGTGTAATACATATTTTAATTTTAAAGTAGATTTATATAGATTTTCAAAATAGATAGGACGTACGGGTAATTAAGGCACAATTGAGAAAAAGTTTGAATGTCTGGGTTAATGGAAATAGAATCTCAAATTAGGAAGACTTGTGTTACACATATTTTAATTTTAAAGTAGTTTCGTATAGATTTTCAAACTAGATAGGATGTATGGGTAATTAAGGCAAAATTGAGAAAAAGTTTGAATGATTGGATTAATGGAAATAGAATCTCAAATTACGAAGATGTGTGTAGCATATATTTTAATGTTAAAGTAGGTTTATATAGATTTTCAAAATAGATAGAATGTGTGAGTAATTAAGGCTCAATTGAGAATAAGTTTGAATGTTTTACTTTAGAAGGCTGATTTGAGTTTCATTTCATCCTTGTACTTGTACGGTCTATAAGAAATTTTACTTTACGAGAGTTTTTTTAGCGAAAATTTATTGCTGGGCCCTCATAGTTTTTCCAAATTTTAAATAAGGTCCCTCGATTTTTCTCCTTTTTTTATTAAGCACTTTAAGTTTATTGGGAAAATGACAGATAAAGAAGCTCCAAAATGTGAAATGCCAATTTGGGAAGCTAAGGAAATGTAATTACCCATAGGGAAGTCCTTCCCAAATTGGGATTTTGAAATTCAGTGAAATGACAAAAATGCCCTTTGTTCTTTTTTTTTTTAAAAAAAAAAACCCAGCCCCTCACCGGTGGCCGGTGGCCGGCGACTGGCCTCCGGCGGCCGCCGACCGCCTCCGGCCACCGGCGCCGGCCACCGGTGTGGTGGCTGCCGGTGAAGGATTTTTGTGACAAGATTTTTTTTTTGGGAATAAGATAATATTGGTTCAAAGTGGCGGGGGTGGGATTTGATCCCACAACCCCTTGGCCACTTGGACCAACAAAAGGATGGCCATTGGGCCATCAAAGATTTCTTAACCTTATAATGCAAACAAAATATAAGTTAGCTCTTTTACTGTGACTCCAGCTCGTGACAACAATTTATCTGAGGATGACAAGTCTTAATTGAGAAATAACAAGTCTAAATTTGATATTAACAAAGCAACTTTTCCTTATACATAACAAGAAATACCGAATAAATTGTTGTTATTTTTCAACAAAGACGTGTCATTTTTAAATAAATTATGATCATTTTAAAAATGATCATAATAAAATGATCATAATTTATTTAAAAATGACACGTCTTTGTTGAAAAATAACAACAATTTATTCGGTATTTCTTGTTATGTATAACGAAAAGTTGCTTTGTTAATATCAAATTTAGACTTGTCATTTTCCAGTAAAGACGTGTTTTTTCAAATAAATTATGGTAATTTTTAATTAACGTAGATGCTATTTCTTGTTATGTATAAGGAAAAGTTGCCTTGTTAATATCAATTTTAGACTTGTCATTTTATAGTAAAGACGTGTCATTTTTAAATAAATTATGATCATTTTTAATTAATGCACATGCTGCTATGTTATGTATAAGGAAAAGTTGCTTTGTTAATATCAAATTTAGACTTGTTATTTCTCAATTAAGACTTGTCATCCTCAGATAAATTGTTGTCACGAGCTGGAGTCACAGTAAAAGAGTTAACTTATATTTTTGTTTGCATTATAAGGTTAAGAAATCTTTGATGGCCCAATGGCCATCCTTTTGTTAGTCCAAGTGGCCAAGGGGTTGTGGGATCAAATCCCACCCCCGTCACTTTGAACCAATATTATCCTATTCCCAAAAAAAAAAATCTTGTCACAAAAATCCTTCACCGGCAGCCACCACACCGGTGGCCGGCGCCGGTGGCCGGAGGCGGTCGGCGGCCGCCGGAGGCCAGTCGCCGGCGGTGGTCGCCGGTCGCCGGCCACCGGTGAGGGGCTGGGTTTTTTTAAAAAAAAAAAGAACAAAGGGCATTTTTGTCATTTCACTGAATTTCAAAATCCCAATTTGGGAAGGACTTCCCTATGGGTAATTACATTTCCTTAGCTTCCCAAATTGGCATTTCACATTTTGGAGCTTCTTTATCTGTCATTTTCCCAAGTTTATTTCGTTAGATTCGTTAATCGTTTATTTACAAAATTGTTATTTTTAGTGTTAATAAATCTATTAGACATTAATGATGTGGCAGACAAATGGGTATAAACAAGTTAGATTTTTTTTTGCTATGCATAGGTATCCTCTTATTAAAGACAATTGCATTCAAGGTACAGTCAGACACTAACTGTAAGTACCTCTTCTAGTAAGAATTTGAATATTAGTTTACCATATTGCAGAGACTATCCTCTTCTGCTAGACACAACCCTTGTTAGTTAAACAAATTGGATTTGACTAGGCACAAATGACTCCACGTCACTTATGATGGGACTATTGAGGAGATGTTTGGATAGTAAGTAAAACTATGGTTTAGGATAAAAACCTTGGTTTTTGGATCCCACCATCCAAACATCCCCATTTTTTGCAAAATCAGTTTTTGATTGAAAATCATGGTTCAGAAAAAAGTAGCCAAACACCATATTTTTTAGCAAAATCACTATTGCATTGAAAACCATGATTTGGGGTATAAAACTAAGGTTTAAGATATAAAAATATATTTTATAATGGGGGTGTTTAGATAAAACAAAATCATAGCTTAGAGAATAGCTTTTGAGAAAAAAGTTATTTTTGAGAATAGATTTTGAAAGAATAGATTTTGTGAAAAAATGATTCTAATAAAATGAAAGTATTTAAACAGTTGTTGTTAGAAGCACTTTTTATATGTAGAAATTGCTAAAAAGAACATAAGTTTATATAATAATTACATAAAAGATATATTTTATAATATATGTTTATTTGAAATAATAAATTTGTTAATAATATATATTTTTCCAACATAATAAATAATATAAATAATAAATAATTAATATGTATATGTATTTATAAAATAATTAAATATGTTTTTAGAAAAAAGATTTTCAGAAGGAGCGACTGTGAGGGAACGGGAGAACAGGCAAAGCTTGTGATAATTGTCATGAGTGTTTTTGTCTAATACATTGTTGCTAGCTTCTAATAAGAGTAATTATTACTCTAACAACTAATATTTTACTTCCAAAAGCAAAAAATTCTGGCTTCTTTACAAACCAAGGTTTTAGCAGGCCAAACCTTGATTTTGACCCAAACTAAGGTTTTGGGGGGAAAAAACTGGTGTTTGGATATCAGCTAGCCCAAACCATGGTTTAAGGCCTAGAATTACTTTTCTCCAGATTGCCAAACACTCATATTTTTTCAAACGTATATACACGTATTAATTATTACTTATGATCGTTAATATAAAAGCTAAATAACTAGTTTGTCTATATTAAGAAAAATAGTAACAAGAAAATAGCGTGCGAACCAACTCTGCTAGGGCCCTACATCGCCCTACATCCTTTTAAGAGTGATCCTTGACTTCGTGCCTTGCGAATCGAGGAAGCTGTGAGGTTTGGGTGGAGAAATAGAGGAGGGCAAGGAGGATCCGAATCGTAGGAAGAAGAAGGTTAAGATGGATGGGAGGGAGTTTACTGGTGTTGAATCTTTACCGAGCAGAGAAGAAGACTGGATGGTGCCGAACAGAGTTCAAGATTCTCCAAAATCCTATAGAGAGTCATTGATGCAGAATGTGAGTAGAAGAGTTTGTCGGTGGCAATGGGCAAATAGTGAAGAGGAGGAAGGAGGAAACGGTTACAATGGGAGTACGAACTTTGATGAAGTGCTAAATCCAAATGAGGGAATTGAAGTGGATATTTCAAACCCACTGAGGCCGAATTTTCGTATTAATAAAGAGGAAAAGGAACACCTATTTCGTCCTTTTCAAAAGACCTTGATCGTGAAATTAATGGGAAGACAGCCGAATTATGTTTCATGGTGACAAAGTTGAAGCAAATCTGGGCAAAGAAGGGTGATATTGTGATATTTGATTTGGAAAACGATTTCTTCCTGGTTAGTTTTTAGCTTATGGATGACTACATGGAAGCTCTAATTGGAGGTCCGTGGGTCATTATGGATGCTTATTTGAGTATTGCACAATGGAGACCAGATTTTAATCCAATGATTGAAAAGATTGATTCAATGGTGGCTTGGGTAAGAATTCCAGAACTACTAGCTCCTTTATTTGATAAAAAAAATTCTTGTTGAATTTGGGTAATGCCATTGGTAAAACTATTAGATTGGATATACATACTGCTCAAAGAACCAGAGGTAAATTTGCAATAATGTGTGTGGAATTGGATTTAACTAAAGCTCTAGTTCCTGAATTTGAAGTAGAAGGGCAGATTTTATGTGTTAAATATGAGAGTATGAATTTGCTATGTAAAAAGTGTGGTAGGTATGGGCATTTGAAGGAATATTGTGAGAAGTTCTATAGGCAGGAGAATATGTGTACAAATAAGAAGGATTTGGAAGGAGAGCGTGCAGTTGAGGGTCCTTATGTTGAATAGGACTTATGGAAAACTGTTACTAGGATACGAAGACAGAGAAAAGAAAATGTTATAATTCAAGAGCAACATAAAGGGTCTAGATTTGGTGTGCTTGAGATTGAGGAACCAAAGGAAACTAATATGGCAGTGGATGTTGAGGTCAACCAAGGGGTGATGAAAGAAATCACAAATGTAAAGAGTAACTCCCGTTCTAAAAAAAGGGCCCAATGAAACAAGAAGAAAGTGCAAATAAATGAGAATAAAAAGAATGCATAAATGGAATTGGAGAGAAGGAAAGGAAAGCAGGAAATTAGAATGATTGAATAGGAGGTTAGGAGGGAGGATATTCTCAAATTAAAAAGTGCTGTTCAAAGGACTAAAGGGGTATCAAACAAGAGTGTTATTGAGAAATTGAAAGGATTCTATGAAACCAATGGGGGTATTTCTATCAAGGAATATGGTGGGCAAGAAGTCAAAATGCTCAATAAAGAAAATGTAGATCCTAGTGATCTAATTGCTAAAAGAGGAGGAAAGGTGGATATTGATCCGGGAGAGATGGCTTGTGAAGAAGAGGAAGAAGATCCGATGAGTGCTCTAGTACATTGTTGAAGGAGGAAACCCTCCTAGTATTCTAAAGAATTGATCTGTTGATTTTGGCTGTGATTTCCTGTTGTTATTTGATTGCCATAAAGTTCTTAATCTGGAACAGCAGGGATGCAGCAAGCAAGGGTTTTGTGGCTGCACTAAAAGGTTTAAAATCATCATATAGGCTTGATGTTGTGGCTATCCTTGAGCCACGAGTAAGTGGTGTGGTGGCAGAGAGGATAATAAGAAGCTGGGGTTTCAAAAATTCGAGAAGGGTAGAAGCAGAGGGTTCTCTAGACGAATATGGTTGTTATGGGATTCAGACGGAGTTCAAGTTGAGAATGTGGTTAAGGATGAGCAATTTATCCACTGTAAAGTTAGAGAGGGAGAGGAAGAATGTGTGTTGACAACTGTTTATGGCAGTCCTAATGAGCAGAAAAGACAACATTTATGGGGGAAGTTGAAGATGCTAGCTGACGAAATAAATGAACCTTGGATGGTGGTAGGAGACTTTAGTGACATCAAATCTCCATTGGAGCAAAAAGGGGGAGGTAGAGTGAATGAGGCTAGGTGTAGAAGATTTACAGAATGGATACAGGAATGTGAGTTAATTGATATTGATGCTACTGGACCTTTCTTTACATGGAAAGGGCCTAAGTGGGAAGGACTTGACAGAGTCTATAAGAGGTTAGATAGATGCTTTACTAACTATCAGTGGCAGTGCAAGTTTGTGAATGCAGAAGTAAGAGTAGCACCGAGGATATGTTCTAATCGTCACCCAATCTATGTGGACCTTGATCTTGTTTTGTATTCTAATAGTAAGAGGATTTTCCGATTCGAAGCAACTTGGCAATTGAATGAGCAGTTTCAACCTTCACTAAATTAATGGTGGAAAAAGGATGATGAAGCTCATAGAAATCTTGTTAGTTTACAAAACAACTTGAAGGTATGGAACAAGGAAGTTTTTGGAAGGATTGAAGGGAGAAAGAGAAGGCTATTAAGTAGGCTTTATGGGGTGCAGAATAGTATTGATAGGAGAATAAATCCTTTTCTGCTGCAACTTGAAAGGGATTTAGAGAGGGAGCTAGTAGAGACCTTGAAACAAGAAGAGGTGTTATGGTTCCAAAAATCAAGAGGGAAATGGATTGAACAAGGTGATAGGAATACAAAATACTATCATACCAAAACATTGATAAGAAGAAGAAAAAACAAAATTAGAATGTTGAAGAATAGTGATGATGTTTGGATAGAAGACGAAAGAGAAATAGTAGGATTGTTTCAAGAGTTCTTTATGAAGCTTTTTGCAAAAGAAAGGTGCAGCAGACACTAGTTAGAGACAAACCATGCATGGGGTAATGTTGACAAAGAAGAAATGGCCCGTGTGAGCAAGAACTTAATTAGTGAAGAGGTTAAAAATGCTTTTGTCCAGATGGGAAGCTTTAAGGCTCCGAGAGAAGATGGTTTTCCAGCTTTTTTCTATCAACAAAACTGGAATGTTGTGGGGAGCTCAGTGATAAATCTGATGAATGAGCGATGGGAGAAGCCTGAGAGAATTCAAGAAATCAATAGCACGCTACTTGTCTTGATTCCAAAAGTTGACAAGCCAGAAAAGGTAAGCCAATTTAGACCAATCTCTTTATGTAATGTGTTGTATAAGGGGTTAACTAAGTTGATTGTTAATAGATTAAAGCCTCTTATGGACAAACTTGTTTCTCCTCACCAAACAAGCTTTGTACCAAAGAGGAACATTCATGATAATATTGTAATTGCAAAAGAGATGGTGCATTCCATGAATAGAATGAATGGAAAGAAAGGATTTATGGCTGTAAAAATTGACTTAGAAAAGGCTTATAATAGAATGTCATGGGATTTTATTGAGAAAGTGTTAAAGGAAGTTGGTTTAGATGAACATGTGATAAAGTTGATTATGTGTTGTATTAGAACTTCAATGATGGCCATAAAGTGGAATGGAGAGAAAAGGGAGACTTTTAAACCTTCAAGACGCTTAAGACAGGGGGATCCACTTTCCCCCTATTTGTTTGTGTTGGGAATGGAAAAATTAACACACATAATTTTGGATAGTGTTGAGATGGGATCTTGGCGAGCTGTAAAGGTTAGTAGAAGAGGAATTGATATATCTCACCTCTTATTTGCTGATGATTTACTTCTTTTCTATGAGGCAAGTATAGATCAAGCTTGTAACTTGTTAAATATTCTTGAAACTTTTGGGGATTTTTCAGGACAAAATTGAATCTTCAGAAAACTAGCATTTTCTTCTCGAAAAATACAGGAAAATGCTTATAGAAAGAAATTTGTAGTTTAACGAGTTTCAAAGTAGTTGATGATCTGGGAAGATATCTGGGAGCTTATATCACTAAAGGAAGAACTACTAGATAGAAATTTTAGTTCCTTATAGATAGAATGCAAAGCGAGCTTAGTGGATGGAAGAAACAGAATCTTTCCTTAGCCGGCAGACTTACTTTGGTGCAATCTGTCACTAATCAAATGGTTTTTTCATATGCAACATTCCCACATTCCAGTGGGTGTGAAGCAAAAATTAGAGAAGATCCAAAGAGATTTTATATGGAACAATAATGAGAACAAAAAGAAATTACATGCAGTGATTTGGGATGTTTTATGCACTTCAAAGGAGAAAGGAGGTTATGGATTGAAATATATGACAATAATGAATGATGCGCTCTTGGGAAGGATTGGGTGGAATCTAATTGCAAAACCAGATAATCTGTGCTCAAAGGTTTTAAGTGGAAAATATGGTAGGAGTGTGAATTTAAGAAGGGAATGTGTTGTAAAGACTATAGATTCTGAAATCTGGAAAAATCTTGCTCGCTTATGGCCTTAGTTAACTAGTAGTGTGGTGTGGGAAATAAATAATGGAAGGGAAGTGCATTTTTGGAAGGATTGTTGGGTTGAGGAGGGCAGAAGACTAATAGACAGATGTAATATGCAATTAAGTGAGGAGCTTTCAAATTGTAAGGCTTGTGAAATGGTTAATGTTGATGGAAATTAGGATTTCTTGAAGCTGGAAGGTATGTTGTCTGAGGAGGATATGAGATTAATTCTTACTGTACCACCACCAAAGAATATATATGGTAGTGACATTGTTAAATGGGGTTCATCACTCCAAAATAAATATGTTGTTGCTGATATGTATAACAAACTAAAACAGGAAGGAGGAGTGAAGGATATATTGTGGAACTGAATTTGGCATTGGAAGGGACCTAGAAGAGTGCAAGTTTTGTTATGGCTAGCAGCTCACAATCAGTTACTCACAGCAGAAAGAAGAAGTAGAATATTGGGAGAAAATGCTAGTTGTTTTAGATGTAGTGAAGAAGAAGAATCTCTTATGCATGTTATGAGGGATTGCTATGTTGCAAGGATGATTTGGGAACGGCTAGGAGAAGAAAACCTTAATTTAGAATTTTACTTACTACAGAACCGTGATTGGTTTAGATGGAATCTTGGGAGGAGGAATAAGAAAGAAGTTATTACTTTTGGAATCACTTGTTGGATGCTATGGAACTGGAGAAATAGATGCTTGTTTAAAGAGGGATTTGTCATGCCAGATTGTCTAGAAATGATGATTGAGCATTATGTTAACGAGATTTTGCTGACAGTTGGGAGGTATGGAGGAATAGGGGAAACAAGGCAGGAGGTGAATATTAGTTGGGTGACACCAAGAATGGGTTAGATGAAACTTAATACTGATGGGGCAGCTAGGGGTCAAAACAGATTAGGTTGTGGGGATTGATTCGAGGGAGTAGAAGATGGACAGGTTTTGCAAGGAAACTAGGATCACGTTTTGCCATCAAAGCTAAGATTTGGGGCATCATTACTGGGTTACAAATGGCTAGGAATGCTGGTATTAAACATTTAATTGTTGAATGTGACTATACTACTGTTGTTAATGTTTTAAATAGAATTACAGATGATATAGATTTAGATTCTATTCTGTTAAAAGAGGTACAGTTAGCCTTAGAAAGCTTTGATCAAGTTTATTTTAAGCATGTATATAGGGAAGGAAATGCTTGTGCTGATTGCCTTGCAAATCTTAGCTTTGATTTAGGGGAGTTGTTTACTGTTTTTAAGAACCCTCCTCAAAAAGTAAAAGAATATTTGTATAGGGATATGGTGGGAATTGCCTTCCCACGAAGGATGTTGAAGTAATAAGATGGGCTGATGCCCCTTGTTTTCACCCAAAAAAAAAAAAAAATAGTTAAATTAGTTATTTATAATAAATATATGTTTCATTTTCTAAAATGCTTGTTAATCATGTACATTGAGACTACTATTTTATAGAACCTTTAACATGTACAAATTAGCATGAGAACTACTTTGAAAAAATACATAAATGTGTTAGATAAAGAAAATTGGACTCTCATATTCAGAATCAAATTAAATATCTAATTAGGTCTCATATTAAGAATGGAAGGTAATATTAATTAATTATATTTTTTCATATATCATTTATTATTTACAAATTTATTATTCAAACAAAAATATAAATCAGAATATACTTTTATGTAACTATCATGTTAACTTATGTTCTTCTTAGTAATTTGCATATAAAAAAATGACTTTGATAATAATCATCCAAATATTCTCATTTTATCAAAATTAATGTTTTCTCAAATCTATTAACAAAATCTATTCTTCTAGGTAAAACCAAACCATAGTTTAAAGAATAGCTTCTGGAGAATACATTTTGAAAGAATAGATTTTGTGAATAGATTTTTAGAATAGATTTTGAAAGAATAGATTTGTTAAAAAAATAATTTTGATAAATTGAAAATATTTGAGTGGCTATCATCATAATCATTTTTTTCATCTGTAAATTACTAAAAAGGATATAAGTTAATATGATAATTATAAAAAAAATTTAATTTATATTTTTGTTTGAAATAATAAGTTTTTAAACAATAAATTGTACATAAAAAAATATAATTAATTACTATTATCTTTCGTCCTTAATATAAGAGCTAAGTGGATATTCAATTTGATTCTGAATATAAGATCACAATTACTTTATCTCTCATATTTATCTATTTTTTATATCTCAAACCATGGTTTATACCTTCAAAGCCCAAAAAAAAATCACTTTATGAAAAAACCATGGTTTTCAATTCAAAAGTGATTTTGCAAAAAAATCATAGTGTTTTGCTACTTTTTTTAAACAATGGTTTTCAATCAAAAAGTGATTTTACAAAAAATTAACATGTTTGGACAGTTAGATTCCCAAACTATGGTTTTGTTTGTTACCCAAACACCTCCTAAAATCTATTCTTCAGAGGTTATTTTACAAACCACAGTTTGGTTTCATTTAAACATCCCCTAAGCCTACACTAGTAGTCGACTTATAACAAATGAACAATCAACAATGTCAAAACTTAATAGACCTTATGAATGATGGAACAAAGACTTATCAAATATTAGGAATGGAGATCGACCGTTTCATTTTCTCTGAATAAATATCACAACACAAACCATACAAGTTAAACAATAAATAACACAGTTATCAACTTAATCTTGGGTCGAAGGTTCAAGCATAGACACAAGAAGGTAATTTCAAGAATTCCAACTTATAAAGGAAAAATGTCCATTTTGCCCCAAAAGTATTCACTAAGGAGCTATAAGTATTCAAAAGTATTTTTTGGAGCAATGTCACCTCAGAAATTACTAAAACGTAGCAATATCATCCTAGTTGTTACTCCTGTTAAATTTTGCCATTTAAAAACACCTGGCACTCCTATGTGGCAGTTAATATGCCAACTCATTATCTCCTCATCTCACATGCTTCTGCTCCCTATCTACTTCATCATCTTCTCCTTCCTCTCTTTTGGTAGGAATAGTTCTCTGAAGAGTACAAGA